TGCTTTTCCCCGAGTATATCACCTCTAACTCTTGTATCGCATGGAAAAGGTTTGATTACTATTTTCAAAATTACCTTCTCCACGTGGCTCGTGCTTGCTTTGCATCATGTTGTGCACCCGTCTCTTCTGTTCCAACTTCACTACACCCTTTATCCTCATCTTTTCTTCTCCCCGAGCCAGTGCGACCTTTTCCTTCCTATACAAATAAAATCGCAATATTGTTGAGCAAAAGACTTGCATATAAAAACGTGTGCCGTTCATGAGTCATCCCTTAGCCGGCTCGAAGACTCTTGTTGTGCACAGCACTCTACAATCAAAGCATATTAAATGTTGCCGTAGCACAGTTTGGCCGGTTTACTACAAGATAGATTACATTGTAGATAGCACTCATAATAGTCATACTTACCAGTTGACCAGCCTTTCCATCCAAACAAGTCGGAAGACTTTCATCCCTGTGAAGAAACATGGTTATGTGTAACTTTTTAAAAGTTTACCAGCATATGTAAGGATTCTGCATCTGATTACTTAAGAGCACCGTGTGATTTTCCCAAACTACTCTTTGAGTAAAGAAAAGTAAATCCGATGTGTTTCTGTACAACTGACTCTTATTGTTTAAGCATTCACGAAAGGACGGTGAATATGGTCCTTTTACCGATCTAAGTGTAAACGCAAGGCTACGAGAGCACTTTATTACTACATGAACGCTTGCAGCAACTGGCCGTGAAAATTACACTGACGATGTTGTGGTTGCATACTTACTTGCCAAGAAATTCACTGGGCCATGACTCCGACTTATCACTGGCCCCAGGAGTGCTGGATCTACGTCCACTTGATGGTCTGGAATGAGGCTTCTCACTCTTGAAAAGATCATCTGATGCTAGTCGGACATCTGTCAAACTGTTACTTCTTGCTGGATCAACACCTGTGAAAATTTTTTACATCTACTTTTTCGCCAATTCTTAACAGTACTGGAAAAACCTGAATGGATGAATTGCCGGTAATAGGATTCTTGTGTTTGCGCCAAGATTTCTGGGATCGCCAGGGGGCAAACATTGCAATTCAATAGAGAGAAATGTATGGCGAAATGTTGTTTCGACGTTAAAAAAAAACGATTTTGGTGAGAGATCATCGCTTTTTTGCCACTGAATCCAAAAAGATCTTTGCACATGTGCTGTTATCAAACCAGATAGGAAACTCTGGTTCCGGTTTGTATTACTCTTAAACCCTCCACCCCAATCCACTGGACAATGGTCACGAAGGTTCTGGGAAAAAGCTGGGACCTGATCGCATTAGTTAAGTAACTAAAATTTTCTGATACGGGCGAAAATAATAATTTCATACAGCTGAATATCTAGTGTAATAATACACACACAAAAAAATAATAATTAAGCGCTTCTGATTGGCTGAAACGAGTGCATTTTTCATGTAACGAGCGCAAAGTTGCCACAAATAGCACGTTCGCGCTGTCAAAACTTCGCCTGTCTCATCTTTTTGTGATGTTATTTTCATGTTAATTATTTAAAAGTAATTTCTCGTGCAATTTGGTGCAAATAAGCACCTCAAAATTTTTCAAGACTACAAAATGCACTCGCCCCACGACCTCGTGCAATTTCGTTGTATTTGAAAATTTACCCATGCTTATTTGCACCAAATTACGCAAGAAATTATGTTATTACCCACACAAAAATCTGGCTGAAATTATCAATCATTCACTAACCTGGTTCATTCTCAAGCCATATGGGTCTGGATTTTGATCTTGAGGATGAACGGGAGGAAGAACTGTGGGTGAATAGGAAACAAATTAAGCTTATACGGTGCGATAGAGATGGACGTACTCACAGGTTACAGTCGAAACTAGAGAGTAACCTCTAGTAGCAAGCTAGTTACAAAAAATTACTCGTCTTTTGGTCTTACCCAGATTTGTCTTTCTTCTTGCTCGACTCTAACCATGGTGGCTTGTTTGGTAACACAGAGCCAGCCACAGAATTTCCTCTTCCAAAAAAAAGAAAGGAAAAAAGAAAGTCACTTACAAGGAAATTCATTTAACAATAAAGAGCTTATTTAGTCGGTGATCGTTTCCCTTATTCTCGTGATCTTAATGTTTGATCCAGGGTTGATATAGTAAGGAGAAATTAGATAATAGTCACTCCTTGGGGTTAAAAGGTTAAAAGAGTGTGTATCAAATACTTTAAGTGGGTCTTTCAACTTACCTTAGAGAATCACTGTTCACATCCGAGCTCCCAAGAGCTTCTGAGGATGAAAGATTTGGAGTGGAACTTGACCTAACGGCAGAAGAAAATCCAAGATCGAAAATCAAAGTTGCAGCAATATAAGCTGCTCTTGCCTCTTGCTCCTACACGAGTAAGGGGATATCCCGTTTCCATATGGTAAAAACAAAAACACACATACATACATATATATACACATACACACTACGCAAACTTTGGTAAAAATAGCAGTGCAGGTTTACTCTTGAGGGGGGAGACCTTTTTATGAATATCAATTTTATCATAATAAAGAAAACACGACTATTTACCTGGTAACCAGAGATTGCTCCTCAAGTTTTTTATCGCTTGATGTCAAGTCGGCAGCTAACAGAGACCTCAGGGCTTTCTCCTTAGTTCTAGATGCCAAAACAATGATTGTTTTAATACCCACTTCCTAACTAAATTATTTGTTCTCCATATCCCATTGTGATCTCACATGGACGATATGCCGGCACAGAGAATTGCTCCTTGTATAATTGACTTGCACACAAAATGCACATGCTATTGGTTAAATTTTATCCCTAGTACTTCTTTTATTTTCCATTGTCTTTGGCTGTCTTTGAAGTGTTATAATGACACAGGAAAATAAAATACAAATAAAATAAAACTTGACCACAAGATTCTATGTAATGGCGGTCGTTTGGTTGTTATGTTATCAATACGAACATTTTTAATTGCATGCTATTGCAGCGCATATTCAGTCAAAATAACGAGGTCTGCAGCAATAACCTTGGAGATATTTACATCACAGGAATTTTAGTCCTTTGGTCCACACTAGTCAGTTGTAAAGTGTTTATGCGTTTCAACGTATCCGTTTTTCCCACACCGACGTCTTCGTTTTGTTTTCATATGTCTACAACAATGCGCTGTGTCCATTTACAACGCATCGTTTAAACGCGTTTCCCCTACGGTCTATAAAAGCACGCCACACAATGCCGATAGAAACGACAATTAGGTGGCCCTTTTTTCATCATATCAATACGAGAAATACTAGAAATGGAATATTTTGAAAAATGACGTGTTTCCGAAGGCCCTATTTTTCAGATCATTTAAAAAAATCTCTGGTTCATTAGCGTTTCCGTGAATTTTACGGTGGATGACACGCGCAAAAGCATCAATAGGTTTTTCAAACGAAAACGCATCATTTGGGACAGGGCAATGCAAGAGCTAATGCAAACCTGGTAGATTTCATACTGACCACAAGTGAGAGATGCAACAACAGAGCAGCAGGTCCTTAACCTTCATCAGAGTATAGTAACCTAAACTTTCTTACCTGTCTTGTCCTTGTTGTTGTTGGCCTGCCTTACTTTCTTCTGCTGACTTTTCCTGTCGATGTGGTCTTGGGGATTTTGGGTGCATCCTGGGAGACTCTGGGGGTTTTGGTATCATTTCATGTTCTTTAGATTGTTTGCCATCTTTAGCATGTCTAAATAAAAAGCACATTGGAGCAAGTAATCTTATTTATTATTTTATATTAATTACACTATAAATTACACTATATTGCTGCTTTACATGAATGCCGTGCCTTAGAGAGCTTAGTTGATTTCTCGACTGAACGACCCCAGTCTGCAATAACAACAAGTATGATAGATTCGTCAAGTTCGCTTCGCCTCGTATGCCACTCTTTTGTTCTTACCAGAGGCACGGAAACATAGAATCTATTTGTCAAGGAGTACTATAGAAACTGACAGAGTGAATGTGCATTACCTTTCATTTTTATATTGCTCGACACTATTATCCTTAATATCACGCTGTTTTCTTTGTGGATCTTCCTCAGCTGACGATTTTAACAACACCGTTTTACATCTGCTCACATCCTGTTCAGAACTTTTATCACACTCAACAGCAGCACTCATCTCTTCGTTCTCCTCTTTCTGTCCATCGACAGATCTTCTCAATACCACAGTTTCACTTCGAATTATAGGCTCTGGATCCTACATAAGCCATAAGCAGAATATATTAAATTTAAGAGCAACAGTCAACTAGAAAAGTGATCATGGCCCACTCGTTTTAGCGCACCCAACAGGTTAACCCTCATAGTCTTTGTTTGCAAGTAAAAGTAAACGTCTTGAACCTGAATGCATTTGAAAATTTTATCATAGTGTTTACAAATTTCTCACAAAATCAAAACGGAGACAAAAATTTAGCGAGGTACGTCAATCTCAAACAGAATTGTTTACATAAATCTAGCTTTGAAGCAGAAGGGGAAGTACCCTTAACCAGATGGTTTGCGTGAAACAATGTTGTAACCTCGAGGAAATACGCTCACAGATTTGTCTAAGATGATAGTTTCAACATGTCTCTTCACTTCGATCTACAAAATAGATTGCAATTGAATTAAAACTAAGTATGCTCATAAACTCACCTGTGCCTGTTCCTTGCTTCCTTCCGATTTTTCGTTTGTGTGGATGAGATTAATAACTTTGCAGTAATCAAACACCTGATTACCACACCCCTGAAATAATAGAAAGTTCAGTTCAATCACACACTATCTTTTTCAGCTAGCCAAGTACATGTATACTCAGCAGACAACATTTAGCTAAAAACGTTCAAAAGTAAGACAAAACTTCACTTACTTTGTCAATAACTCCTTCCCATACAAGGTCCCCTCCGACGAAAATTCTCACATCTTTAACTCCGACATTTAGTTCCTTAAAAAAGTTAATAAATACGTAAAGCTCTTAAGAAGGAAAAACTCTAAGAAAGGGCAGTACTAATATAATAGGAATGGCAAATGATAAATCCAATACATGGATTGAAGTCATTTGAGGTTCTTACGATTTCGAGATAGGTTCAATCATTTCCAAGATAAGGAAAAGTTACGAGGAACTGAACCTCAGACCTTTGGATTATACGTGCTCTACATGTACCACTAAACCACAGAGAACTCAGAAGCGTGCCACATTCAGACAAAACTTTTGTCTGAGACAATTAAGCAAAGTGTACCTTTTCCAATCTAGGCTCATATATTGTCCTTTTATTTCCTGTCCCCCTTTCCTCTCTTCCTCTCTTTGAATACATATTTTGGTGATAAACTCAGTAAAACGTTAGCAAGAGAGAGATGAAAAAGGCGTCTCCTTCAGTCTAGCAATAAGATTTGAGGACAGCTATCGTACGCTTAAACAAATTGTCTCCGTACGTTTTGCCACGATTGTGAGCCACTACACAGCTGTTCATATGTCACAAGCGGCCTGTTTACTGCTACATCAGCAGTGTTGAAAGGGTTCTAAGTAACTACGTTAGCGGTTAGCTTTTCCTCCCACATGGTTAGCTTTTTCTTAACCTTATGCGTGAGAAAGTGTTTAACGTAATCACTTCTTGTCTTGCACCTGTTTTTGTCTTTTTATCTGTCACTATAGACGCCAGGGAAATCACAATTTTTTCCATACATGTAGGTGGACAAGTCAATTACGGTGAAACAATAACAGTGCATGTTGTGTTGTTGTGCAGAACTACATGTAACAGAATGTTCAGAACGAGCTTCCCAGTGACTAACCTTGATACCTCTGTTATAATTCCAGACAGAGATTTTTGATAGTCCATGAGATTCAAGGCTAGTAGCGTCACCACTGGGCAGATGAAACACTAATTCAACTGGATGTTTAGTTTGAAACCCACATGACCACATATACCGACCTTTAGTAGTCTGAGAATAAAAAGTAAAATTCAGAATTCATTCGCCATTGGCATGTGCGTGTACTTAGCTATTACTAAAAGGCACGTTTGTAAGACATAAGGGAACATTTGCAAAAGCAGTTAAAGGTGCAACCCACAACAACTTGGCTTACAATACAATCAGTTATAATAAATGGTAGGTAAACACATATAACTACCTTTGTTTTCCCATTGGCTAAGTTACCAAGGACACCCCCGTCTCCAACATGGCCTGATAAACTCACATTGTGCTCATCATAAGGAATCGTGTTCCCCTTTAAATCAAAGAACTGAATCTGAAGAACAAAGAATTTATGTGAAGAGAAAATAAACCATCAGGTTAGTTAGATACATTGAGCCAATCTCTTCTCCAATTAAACTACCTCCTTACTGTGATTATTATTTCGGTTTCAAAAGTAGTTACAGCAGAACAAGAGAGGAAATTACAAACCTCTGTTAGTCCTACATAACTTGAGTTTCCCCAGTTTGAAATAATCTCAAAATAGACATCTGTTCCCTCTTCACTTTCAGCTTTATCATTTTCAGCATCATCCAGTGAATCCATTACACTGAAATCCTGGAGGGAAAAACAAAATACATCGTTTGCTGTTCAAGAGAAAGCGAAAACGTGGAGTCAAGCCACTACATTGTACATGCAGGAACAGAACCCAACTATTGAACAACACTGAACGCCATTTCCCTCCCTTAAAAACTGTTAGTACCCCTTGAAAGAGCACTCAGTGAAAATCCAAGGTGTTTCCTCATGCTAAAACCATTCTATAAAGAGTCAAATAAAATAGTGTTGGATCGATACATTGTCATCTTGTGAGGTGGAAAGCTTATCCTGCCACAGCTTATCCAGGTTTCCATAGCATAAAGCCACAGGAAGAAAAGCTATTCTTCCTGGGAGGGATGAAACTGTACAATAGGGTTGCCCCCCTCTCCCTGTATATCATCGTATTTTACAGATATTTCATTAGTGCCTATCTATATCCTTGGGTGAAAGAAGCTCTGTGAGAGTATAGTCTCTTGCCCAAGAACACACAACACAGTGACCTGGTAACGTCTTGAACTCACACCGTTTGATCCAGATTGTAGCATTCTAGCCAATGGACCACTGTGTCATCAAAATGACGAGAGAATACATATTATTACCTTAGATTGACTCTCAATAGATGAAGATTTTGTCACGGGTGTAAATGGCACAGTAGCTTTCATTGGGGAAAGTCGAGGAGAAGGTGATGGACTGGACACCTTAAAAGGAGCCTTGCATTCCAGTTTGGACAGAAGCTCTATCAAACTTTGTTGTTGCCTATGGGTGAAAAATCAGGACCTCTTTGTCACTCTGGTGAATGTTTGTCTACATGGCTATATCATGTTTAACTTCATCTGTTGTAGTAGGTAGAGTGGCAATGTTTGAAATAATAAGCTCACAACAATTGTTATATTAACAATGAATCTAAATCCTTTTAATACAATTCTAATTATTGCATAGACAGAGTCAAATAACTAACATAACAGGAAGGTAGTTGTACAAAGGGGCTTGGACGTAAAATTAGGAAAATATGGGCCTTTTGTTCGCCATGTACACATAGGCCAAATTAATAATGGAAATAAATATAACTTGTCCATTCACCTTGCATCCATTTTTCTGACTTTCTCTGTGACAAGAGCTATGGTGTCATCAGTTTTCAAAGGAAAGGAAGCCAATGATGATGGCCTTTTAACCTCATGTAATGGTGAGCTGGATACGTTCTAGGAAAACGTTGTACTAAAAACTCAAGTAAAATCGGCATGATAAAATCTCACCCTAAATCAAGACTGAATGACTACCTAGAGTAAACCAACTATAAAAATCTCAATTCTAGCTTAAAATGTTTCACCTAATGTTAAGTTTAAGTACCAGGAGAATGGTACCTAATGGCCAAGAATAATTATCACTACCAATGATTGAAGAACATTCTCGCTAATGCTGTTTCCGTTTCCCTTGATGAAAGTGCTTTAAAGTTTTGAACTTACCTTAGATCTTACTGGAGCTGTCTGAGATCCAGATGCTTTTGATTCTAAAAAAATGAGATAGAAAAGGGTTATCATATAATTTATATTAGTCATTTGACCACCCTATGACACAACATTTTAACCACAGTATCATTTTAGTCAGAGAAAGAGTCATTTTTCTCAAGATGTTTGAACTTAAATAAGGCTAATTGTAATGTAGACAAGGTTATAATTTAGTCAAAGCAAGCATTTCACTCATGGGCTGTGGGGGGCCCTGGGAAGTCTGCAAAGACATTGCTTTTCCTTGATTTTATTTGTTAATTTTCTGGCTTTGTTCTCCTCTTCCTCCACCTCCTCCTCCTACTCCTCCTCCACCTCCTCCTCCTACTCCTCCTACTCCTCCTCCTCCTACTCCTCCTACTCCTCCTACTCCTCCTCCACCTCCTCCTCCTCCTACTCCTCCTCCACCTCCTCCTCCTACTCCTCCTCATAAGTCCTTCCAAAGTTTTTGGGTTAGTATTGAATCAAGACACTAGTTTGTCTGTGCTGTGCTAACAGGTGCCCAGAGGTGGGCTTTGGCTTGGTTGCCACACCACTTTTCTGCTGAGGAGAATCCTGCTCTCCTCTGCTGCTTCCTGTTCAGCATCTACATGTACCCCCCACTACTACTGACAAAGTTTTTTGCATGTAGTTATTGAAAATCAACTTTTTTAAAGTGTATTTGTGAGACTTAACATACATTCAATAGTGAAAGCCCCTTATTTTCTTTTAAAACCTCAGCTTGAAAAAGTGATCGAGGCTCACAGGTAAAAACTTAGCATGTGAGACCCATCACATGTACTCATAAGCTGAACCATTAGGACTATTTGTAACCCTTTCTTGCCTTTCACATGCTTTGTTCATATTTCAATTTTAATACCTGACTTTCAAAGCGATTAAAAATCAATGTGATGCCATAATCTCTCACCTACTGTCTGATTCTCTTCAGCCATTGCTTTAAAAATCTCTTCTGCATTGTCATCCAATTTATCCTTAGGTTCCATTCTTCTTGTTGCAGACAAAGGTCTACTCTTCTTTTCTGAAGCTTTCATGAAAACAAGAAACAAAATTGCACTTAGTTGATTTTTATTCTCCAATTTGTTATTCTAGGTAATAATACAGTCTTGCTTATTGATTTCCTTGCAATTATTGGAAGTGCTAATTCAAACTACTTTTAGACCAAGAAGAAAGATGGAGAATTTTGAGCACAGTTGTTTCTTAGGGAGAGCTGTGAGACATTTGTCACCAACATGAAGATACAGTGTACCCTTTAGACACATGATGCTTTTGACCTGATCCTAGCAGTAAGCCGGACATTTATCATACTTGAACCTACTACAGGGCAAAGCTCACGACCAAGTTCTCTGTAGCTCAGAGGTACAGTGTCCCACCAAGAAATCAGAGGGTGATTTATCAAAAACAAACTTAGTTCTTTACCTGATGTCAAGGTTACTTCTTGATTTCCTGATTCGTGTTTTTCTGATCTAAAAAAAATAAAAAACAAATCCATTCTGTATTCATACAACAAATAATGTTTTGCCACTTAACAAATTAACATCAATTTTGAATTAATCTAACAAAAATACTAAACTTCAAGAGGATAAATCAACTTTTTTTGATAGCGTAGTCTGATTGTGCAATTGAGTGTGGTCCTGAGAAGGACTAATGGTGACTGATGTTTTGACAACCTGAACAGAAGTTACCATCAGAGTCGTTTAGTTTTCACTAATTACTTATTTATAATCAATTTGATTTGAAAATCAAGGCATTCACCGCTTTTGTTGTTTAGTATAGGATCTGTCATCTCTGGATGAAAAGTGTTCTGTGCTGTCATAAGGATCTGCATTCTTCTTCCGCCTTTCATAAGGAAGCAAGAATATGGAAATGACTGACAATTCAATTTTCATACATGGGCAGGCAAGTTTGGAGGTGAAGCAAAATATTTAGTCAATGCATGCAGGTAGGGGAAAGTGAAAATTTTATTTTTAGGCTACTTCACTCCATTTCTGTTATATATGATAATTGGGAATAATTTTTAGCAATTCAATCCATTTCAAATTCATGGCTGGCTTTTGCAATCATTAAAACAGGAAAGAGTTCATTGATTTTCAAAAACATTCTGACAGATGACAAAACAGACTTTTCTTTAGGACAATAATTCCTTAACTTTGTATAAACTTAGTTAAATGTATGATGTTTATCCTCAAGGAAAAGTAACCACTATCAGTAACTTTATAACCCACCTTAAGAGATGACAAATGATGCCTACCTTGTTTCTGACAAGTTTCCCTCTTTTCTTTTCCCTAAAATCAGTGTAAATGGGGGCATTCAGCAAACTGAATTATCACATTAAAATATTAACAACAAGAATAGCCCCTGCATAACCAACAAGGTTTAAATGTAATGGTAAAAAGTGGTATTTATGGTAACATAATTATAGGAAGCTGTACTACTGACAGTTTCTTGTACAAAGCTATAAGCATATACCTATGCAATAATTTGTTCCAACATTTGTTTAAGAGAAAGGACAATGAGCTTCAGATAAAACTTCCTTGCATCTCTTTCTCTCCTTAGTTTCTACTTTGTGTGCGATTGTGTTTATTCAAATACACAAACTACACTGACTCATTAACTCACCTGTTGATGATGAAAAACTAAGAACAACAAGATCCTCAACTGGGTTCACTGACTCATGTTTATGCTTTTTGCTTCTTTGATGAGTTTTTTTCTCATTGCCATCAGAAGTCACAGACAAGTCTTTGCTTTTCACAGATTTAGTTTTTTCATGGTCAGTGTCAACTGATGAGGTTTTCCCAAACCCCACACCCTCTGAAATGCTATTACTAGTGTTTATAGAGCTTTCAACTTCATGCTGTCTTTTGTCTGGTGTACTTGTCAATTGTGGTAGTCGTTCTAACACAGCTGCGTCATGGAGATTTAAACTACTATTTGCTCCTTCTAATTCTTCTTCAATTTCATCCTCATTGTCATCATCAATAATGTTATTGTTGTTGGCATTTTTCTCCTTTGTTTCTTCCTCTATTCTCTGAAGAGCAGAAGGCATACATGTATTAATTGACTTTTTTTTTCTCCTGGCTTCAACGATTTGTAAGGTAAAGCATATTCTATGTATTTGATCACTACATATTTATGCTTTAAATTTATATCTAGATGGTAAACTAATAATTACAGTATACAAAAATCTATGGCAAAGAATCAAATTGCTATATGTGGCTCTGTGTAAATTAGGAGCCAATAAGAGTTGCAGTCAGTACCTTTTTGGCTGCTTCAATACTTTCCTTTATGGATTCATCAGCTTCTAGAGACTTACGAAGTGTCTATTGTAATACAGTAAGGCAAGGAAAATATCAAGATACATGTAATCTAACAAATGAATTAAACAAATTTCAACGAATAAAAGGCATTATGATAAAAAAGACAAAGTATGTCCCTAATGGTATCTAGACATAATTATATATGGAAGTGCTGCATGTACCTCAACATCATTGAAACTGAGAGTAAGTTCATCCTCGTCATCATCACTGTTAAACTCTAACTCATCTTGATCACTTAGGTCATTATCAGCAACATCCTAGAGTGATTACAGCACATGAAATTAATAATGATTTTGTGACTTTGTATGGACATGGATAAAATATGTAAATGAACAACAACTCTGATGCTAAATTCCTGAGAACTAAACTTGTTCAAAATTTTAAATTGAGTCTGGCAAATTATGTGCTATTTTTTCTTCAGCAAGCTGATCATGGTTTGGAAATACAACAAACCTTAATACTTTTTTGTTTTTTAATGCTTCATAGATTTTAGCAAATTATTTTTTAAAACATTGTGAAAAACTATTAAGTAAACACTAAGTGTACTCAATTTTGAAGAATAAGCTTCCTAATTATGTCCTATTTCATTATATTTATGACACTGGAAACCAAGAGATCTTTTAATCTTTAGATCAGTATGTCTAGTTTGCAACCAGGGATCTAAGGTAACTAGATATTTAACTTGGTGAGCTAAAAAAATAAAAAAATTAGTCACCAGAAAAAAACATGTCATTTACAGAGAGAAAAAACGAAAGAGGACATTAATTTTTGTTAAATATTTATGCACAGTTGTACAGGTATGCACTGAAATCTTCACCTGGTCAGAGGCACTGTCACTACTTTCCACAGCCACAGATTCAAAGTCCTCACTGTATTTACCAGTAATCCTCCCTAAAAATGATAAGTTTTGTGACTGTGATGGTTTCAACCCATAACAAGTTTGTGAGGTTTCTTTCAATTAATGAGAATATTTATTTAATTAACAGGGTCAAAAACTGTCACCCTTCCACTCGTCTGTGACAAGAACAGGAATGTTTTTGTCTTGATTGAATGACTACAGCTCCTAGCCACTTGTCTGATTAGATGAGTAAAACTTTTTATAAACAACCTACTTAAATTTTTCTATGACTCAAGTTAAACACACAAACAATTATCAAAATAAAATATGCCTACAGGTGTAGATGTTTTTATTGTGGTTGTTTTTGAAAATTTACTGAACTTCTAATTTTAACTTATCCATTCAGTGGTTTCTAACTGTGGACGCATTGATCCAAAATTTAGCTAAAATGAAAAAAAAAAAAAAAATCCAAAGCCATTCTGTTTTAGATACCATTCCTCCTATTGAACTTGGGATTATCTCAATTTGAACTATTAGTAACCATATAACCACTTTTTACAATTGTCAAACCCAAAAATTCAGCAACAACAATTTGAAAATCAATCCAAATAATACCTGGAGCTCTCAGTCTCACACTCTTTCCTCCAACTGTTTTTATTTGTATTGAATCCTAATGAGAGATCAATAGCATGGACATTTAAAGATATAGACAGATTGCTTTTGGGATGATCCTGATCTACTAAATCAGATAGATCTGCAGTCAAGTCACTCTGCACCAGGGTAAGCAATGCAGAACCATAGGTCTGTGTTAGCCCAAAATTATCAGGCTACCTAGCCTGACAATTTTTGGCCAGACAACTAAGTCTCATAGTGCAGAAAACTTCCCAAATTGATCAGAATGGAATAGAAGGATGGCAAAGTGGGGTCCTAATCCCCATTCATTTCAGAAAAAAATTTGTGTAACATATATAAAGGGGAAAACTGCAAATCTCTCTTTCTATGTACAAAGTTTTAAGGGAAATCTTAAGGTTAACACAAAATGTGAGAAAAGAATTCATGAGTCCCTTATTTTTAGGGAGGAAATCACATATCATGCTGGTTCATAAATTCATGAATCAATCTTCCCTTTCTGTAAAATTCACCCGTCATGTATTGATTATGGCCTTGATCATACATCACATATTAACCTTTTGCTACCCTCATGTAACTGACAGACATAATGATACATTTCAAGTCTCTGCCAGTACAAAGGTCTCTCTCAGGGCAGTGAGATAGCTAATACCCTTTGCATCGTTTCTGTGGAGATCAAATGAGTAAAATTGAATTGCCAGGTATCTCCCTCACACCAATACTTTTTCCATCTTGGCACAGGGTAACCAACAATGTCAGACTAAAATGTATCATTTGTTTGTATCCTTAGTTGTTCATGGGTAAGAAGCTAGTGCATCATTCCATAGTTCTAGAATTGATGTGTACAGTTAACATACATATTTCCAGCCTTTTCTTGAACTAGGAGTGGGATCAGGAGCTGTTTTCACTCTGACATCCCTGAAGTAGAGAGGTAAATTTTTCTGTTAATTCTATGATGACAGCAAATGTTAAAGTTCAATAACTTCATAAAGGTTATGTTTTCCACACTGAAATGTTATCCAAGTATGAACAAATAATTGAAGTATGAACCAAATTATGTAAAATTACTCTTGCAAATTTTGTGAACTTAGGGTATTGATATAAATAAAATATACAACATAGTTTTAAATGTAATTCAGATTTCTTGTTGTCCCAAAAAATATTTGGTAAATTGCAACATAATGATTCCATTTCATTTCAAGGGATTTTGGATGAAGGTCAATATTTGAGCAACTACATCCCTACCCCTCCCCTAACCCAACAACAGATAACAAGTCGGGTTATTGTTTGGTCAGGGGAGAGGTGGGTGTGTAGTTGCTAACTAAAGATAGACATTAATAAATGACTTTTTCTTTAAAAATTACTGTGCATGTTAATTTTGACTTCTATAAAGCTTGCAGCATCATTGCTAATTATGTACATAGGTATGACTGAAGTATAATTATAATTATAACAAGTCCTAGCTTCATCACCTTGCTTCAGCTTCTCTTTCTAATGTTTCCAGTTCATGTTGTAAGATTTTTTTTCTTTCGCGATGAGCATCTGAATAAGAAATCAATTGAAAACAAAAACAACATCAGCTATGTGGACTAAGAAGTGCAGACTAAAGTAATTTCAAGGTGACTCCTCAGTATTGCATCACACATCCTGTACTGTGCATGATTGCATAATTAGGGGAATAAGCACATAAGGTAAACAAGTAAAAAATACTCTCCTTGATGAAAAAGGTTTTAATATATGCCTCAACTTGATAGCTGCTGATCATGTCAAAATAATTAATTCTCCTACATCCCTTAATATCTTGTGAAATATAATCATTTCACCTCCAGCTGTCTTAGCATGCCTTGATGAACTGCGTGATTTTGCCCTGGAATAAGCTTGGCCAAGCTCTACATTAGCACCATTGACATAAATAGAGAATCCTTGCTCCTTTTTTTCCAATTCAATCTCTTGTTCATTCTTCTCCTTTAGTTTCTTTAGAATTCTATAAAGAACAAGAGGGAAGAAAAGTTGCAATTTTCATAAAATTTAACATAAGAAATAGCTGCTAATAAAGTAAATAGAATTTAATGACAAGTGGTATATTATAAATGGTAAAGATGACTCTGTTTTGATTCCATAAATATTGAAAATAGGTATAAATATTGAGTCAACTCAAACACAGGTACCAACCTCTAACATACTTGTACATACATGTACAGCATTAAAACCAGAGAGAAAAAAGAAGAACATTTGGTATCCATATTGCTTGGTTTCATATTAAACAGAAGAATATTTTACAAAGGGTTCACCTGAAGAGCAAAAAAAGGCAGAATTTTTTTCCCAGCCCTGTTGCAGGGAGTGCAATGGCTAGGTAATGAATGTGCTGTACTCTGCATTGCAAGCTGTGGGTTTGAGCCATGGGAAGGTCAATGGCTCAGTGACTCAGTGACATGCAATAATTGCATGTCACTGAGTACAATTATTGTGCTAAGCTTAAGTTTCCATAGTTTACCAAAAACTTCCTAACTACCCTTAGCTATTAAAAAAAAAAGCTATTATTGTAACAAAAAAACCTTGATGAGTATTATTAAATATACACTTTTAAATCAGAATGTATGAAAAAATTTCTAAAATGCATTCTTCAATCACCTGTTTCTCTGCTGTAGCAGAAGCAAATATTCTTCATACTCTGGGCGGACTTCTTCTTTTGCTGACAGAACCTGGGTCATGGTTAAAAGCCATGATTAAAATAGAGAAAAGGCAAAAAAATTGACTGTAATATTAAAGGTAGCTTCTCTCAAATCTCATAGAGCAGGTCCCTGAAGATACTGCAGTTTTTGCATTCATACTAATAAACTGACAGAAGTGACCTATATGGGAAAGGAATCTGAAGTACATATTTTTTTAATATAATAAATTTACAATATTCAGCCTACAAAATACCTCTTCTCTAAGCTTTCCTTGCTTTCCCCTTGATTTATCCCACTTTCCATGATGGTCTAATAAATCAATAAGTCAAACAATAAGCCAAAGTTTACAAAGTTTTTCATAAGTCATTCTTGTTGTTAGGCTAAATCTGCAAGTGGGCAAGATGAAGTGAATCCTGTGTCCTATATTGGCTAACCTGAGCAGACAAGATGGATATCAAAAAATCAAACATGGTCTAAAAGTTGTTTTAATTTCTTTTGGACTTCTTAATACTGTTGACCTCCTTTCTTTTTTCTATCATTTCAAAGGACCTCCTCCTCATCTTAATCCAAAAAAATTCAAAAAAGAACTATGCTGATACCCACATCAGATAGATAAATACTCTTTGTACAGTTTGCATGATGCATCAAAGTGACCATGAGATCAAATAAATTTCCTGATTCACAATCCCTCATATTAGATGGGTTTGTCAACCCTTTTACTCCTGTCATATGTGACTTTACAATTCATTCTTTCAGATATCTCTAATATTTCAATCACTATGTTAAACAATTGCCAATCAATATATTACTGTACTTTCATCACCAACACATCAAACATCAAATTGCAAAGTTTCTATCATAAAAACTCTCATGAGTGATGAATTGAGGTCATCTCTCCTCACATATTAATAACTTTTTTAGGAAGATAGAGACAAGAAGAAAAAAATATGAAAGCAGATTGTGATTAGGTTTAATGTGATGTTATCCTCAACTACACAGGGCATACATGAATTATATTTATGCATTTCCATAAATCACTCAAGAGATTAACTGTGCTTGAAATTGGTAAAAAACCGTCCATGAAAGCATGGAGACCCACGCAGCTGCCATTTTGAAACCATCACACAACTATAAAATACAATGGATTCTCATTATCTGAAACTTCCTGGGAACCAGCAAAAAATGACTCGAGAAGTCGGGTATTAAAGGTATCACAAGATAAAGTGATACTCTTGATATGAGTCGAGTCTCAGGAAGAGCCCAATGTCAAACACAACGAGAGCCTACAGATGTTTGAGTTTCAAGATGATAGGCCTGTACTATGCAAAGATCAAATATCCACGAAACCTTGTAATTATAGAGCAAGTGACTGGTCGTTTAAGCACCACATAAACAGAGACCACACGAGTAGAATTTACTCTGTAAATATCGCAATTTGGATCGCTCAGGTAACAAAAAAACACTGCCTCAAAAACCAAAATTTCAAATATCCTTATTTCTAATCAAAAAATTCTACGAACTCGAGTAAAAAAACCGCAAAATGTAATTTTCACAAGGAAAGTAAAATGTATACAACATATGTGAAACCACGGAAACATAATAAGCTTGCTACTCATTTAGCACAAAACATCCAGCTGTCATTGACACGGGTTTGCAATTAGGAATACTTGCCTTCCATGCCTTGGCTTGAAATTTCCAAAATCTGGAAGATTATCTGAGTCCTCTCGTATTTCTAGCTATATTTATCATCGCGAACTGAAAAAAGTTAGGCCAAAATTTCCAAAACATTCACAATATTCGCGGTGATTTACTTATTGGCCAGGTTACCAAGTATTCTAATGCATTTTGGGAAATCTCAGAAAATCCCTTGATGTCCCGCACCGTCCGCGCGTTGTCCCGTATATTAACAACTCTGAGGAGAAAAACTATTAAAAGGGAAACGAACTCAATTGATAGATCGAATGGGCCTTAAAATAAAAAATCATGGAAAAATTTTCAACTGAGTGTCGAAGGCGTGAGGGACGTAAGTCTTAAAAGACACTATGGTGCTGCGTCGGTGTTGGTAGTACAAGCTAATTTGGTTTAATCAACTGAGTTGATAACGTAGATTGGCCACCGCAAAGCTGACGTTTCGAGCGTCAGCCCATTGTCAGAGCGAAGGAGTGTATAAGTTTTGTTATACTACGCTCTATGAATCACACTTCTTAACCAATGAGAATTCGGAATTGTGCTCGTCCGCAACGAAGTGAGGCACCAGACCACTGTAACTAGAGGGAAGCACTCATGCGAAGGAAGGAATTGTCGCTTGTCTTTTCATCATGTTAAAACCCGGTAAAGGGTTTTCACAGCAATAACGTTAAGGCTGAAATAATATTCAGTAACCATTTCCCCCCGTCTGAGTGCGTGAACGCAATTTAGAATGGAGAAGTCTATTTTCTTCTGTAAAACGCATGGAAAAGTAACAACATGGATAATCACTTTTCTTCAACATAAATCGCAGTTTTCCCCGTGGTATTTCCACTATTTATCTGTATCAAATTCATTCCGATTGTGTCTTCGATTGTATGCACTGAAACGTGGTTTTTCTATTTCTATTATCTACTTTAATGAAAACGCTCTCTAAAAAAGGAAAATTTAATATCATACACTATGAAGGATCACGATAATTGTACAATCGACTTAAACACCTTTGTCCTTCTACATAATTAAGTGTCACCCGAAGCTGTAATTTCCTTTGTAATAAATGATCCTGTCAATCAAAAGCTCCCTCGATGATTAACCAAGCTATAAATTATATCCACCTTGTTTAGCGAAGAGACTAGTAATCTTCCACTGATGACAGGAATATGTTAACCACACTTATTCTCTAAAGCACAAGAAAACACAAAAAGTTTATTTTTGACTTTGGTCTGCCGCAATTTGCGGAATCGACAAATGCTTCGGCACGTTTTCCAAAATTCTTAAATCGGCTAAGCGGGTGAAAGATTGACGCGTCACCAAAGGAAGATGCTGCTAATAAATGCCGTGAAGGGTGGAAGAAGGACACAAGTAAAAATGCTTCTAAAAGTTGGCGTAGATGTTAATGAAGTGGACGAAGACGGACAAACGGCCCTAATACACTCCTGCTTTCTCTATGACTTCCGCACGCGAATGAAGATTTTAAAATGTTTAGTTGTTGCGGGCGCAACCCTTAACAAGAAGGACAACTATGGACGCACAGTACTTTCGTGGGCTTGTCTGCAGGGAAAACTTGAAGTGGTTAGATTTCTTTTGAATGATCCGCTTTGTATGGATTTAAGGATCAATATCACTGATAAGGATGGGAACAATACTCTCTTACTCTCTGTAATGTCTGGCAATTTTTTAGTCGTTAAAATGATGGTAGAGGCATTAAGAGGCACGGCGAGAGCAAGTGAACTTAATAAAGCTAACAACGTTGGTATGCAGCCGTTAATAGCTGCTTTCATTCGCGGTGATAAAGTTTGCGCTCAGTTTCTCATAAAACAAGCGGGAGCTTCTTTTTCAAGTGTGCTTAAGTACCTGAGAGCCCTTCAGAACGATTCAGTCAAGTTTTGTACAAGATCAGCGCTTTTGTTTGACTCTTCAAGAACTGATTTCCATATTGATCGTGAACAAACAAAAAAAATTTTGGCAGATTTCACTGAAGAAGACATTTTTGAGTTTCTGTTTGCAAAGGATAAAGATACGCACGACGCACAGACAAGCAAAACTGAAGAATTTCAGAGTGACAAGAAAGACGCTGCCACGCAGCAACAAAGTCATATCGTAAAGTCTAGATTAAGAAAACTGGGGTCTGTTTTAGTTATTCCACAGGAACAGTCAATTTCAGCGCAGTCATTATTCACAGAAGACGCCAACGAAATGAAATTTCTCGAAAACCCAGTGAACAGCGCTTTCGCAACATTAGCTGATCAAAAAAGGTTGACACAGGGCTCCAACTTATCCTCGCGCTTGTCGGTTCAAAAACTATTGACACTTTATGCTGAGCAGAACTCACCCTCGTACAGACAAGGTTTACCTATACGCAGATACACTCCTCCCCAACCCGCGATCGTAAACGAATCTAGCGGAGATTGCGACACCCGGCGCTCAAGTCTGCTTCCATTGGGCGAGACCGAACGACGGGTTCAGGCGTTGGCGGAGTCGATGGCTGGGTCGTCATCAGGCCTTCTTGGTGAATCTATGATGGATCAGCATCTCCGTTTGAAATACGCGCGTAATTCAAGAGCCACCAGCATGCAAGTTCCTAGGTTACCGTCCCTTTCTAATGCAGGACGGGGGAGAGTCAAACGGACCAAGTCGTCGACTATTATGTCTGTCAAACCATTCTAAGGGAACACCAGCTAGTAGTCCAGAAAACATGAAGAAAATAAGATAATTATAAAAAATATTTGTGCCATCCCATAATTTTCACTTTCATTACATTGGATTTTGGTCGGGATTTCAAGCCGATGAGGGAAAGAATGCGAAGGAGAAGTGAAACGATCTATTATAAAATCCCTTGTTCATCTCTATCGTATTTCTTGTCCTCTCTTCCACCCCCCTCCCCCACTTCACTTCCATGTCATCTAACTTCCTTTACGCATCGATTTATGCCAACTAATCATGCATTGCCACTTACAGGGTGATGAAGGGGAATGGAGGCTATTAATACGTTCTGTTTTTCATCACTGAATCTTTAAATTCATTAACCTCTCTCTACACCTTGGGATAAGATTCTGTGGTTTATCATATTCGGTCAAACTAAACCCTTTACGCCCTAACATCAGTATCCATGTTCCCCATTTACTTCATCATACATTTCCTTTAGTACCAACGAGGAAAATTTGTTTAACTATCAAAGCTTCTTAGGTTACCGATTATTTCTTTAATTCTCATGATCTTAATGAATGATTCAGCAGTATTATTGTAAGAAGAAATTAGATGCTGGTCACTCTAAGGGTTGTAAACTCTCATAAAACCGTTTTTTAGTAGTTACAATACGTATCGTTCCCAAGACAACTTTACTTAACGGCGCACAGGAAGGGTTTCAGCTTTCGACTGCAAGAGCATTTCCAGTTATGATACATTAAAGTCTAAACGACACCATGTATCTCGATACCTTGCTCCTGGATGTCTAACAACAAAGAATTCAAAATGATCCTCTCTTTCTTACTTTTTATTAAATTAAAAATCTTTAAAATCAAAATTAATTATAATTGATTTTAATTTGAAATAAATTTGTCTTTTTCTCAATATTTTTCTCAGAAAAGTCATTTCGATAGGGCAGATATAAGAATCGAGATGTCTGGAGAATCCCATGACTTCCAGTACACACTTCTTTTAAATTTATTTTGAAAGGCGAACTTTCTCGCAGAAACGAGACAGAACTGACATGTAACGTAACTCCTACAGATTAAAGCTGTGGTAATACGAAAGAAAGGGACCACCTCACGTTGTCACATCAAAAAAATGAACATCTCTCTATCGCTACAAGTATACAACTTACGCGGCAAGGAACAGGGCTATCAATTGCCGCCTCTGAACACTTTTGCGACTTCTAACATGAGCCTCATAGTTTGTTCCGAGCTTCTCTCCTCCCTTTCGTGATCCAGTCTGGTCATCTGTAGAAAGAACTCTCTGTCCCTTCTATCACTTTCTTCCATATAATCTCTAAGAAACTGATGTGGTTTACCGTTCTCGTCTTGAGCCGAACCATCGTTGGCCTTTTTTCTGCTCTCTCTGTTCGATGGCGTCTCTCGAGTATCTCCTGCGCGTGAAGAACCCATTCCATAACCAGAGGCAAACCGAGAATCTCCACTTTGATGGTGAGGGGCAGAACTCAAACCACTCCCCCTGAGATTATCGGGTGTATTAGCAACGCTACTTTTAAACACTTTTGCTACTTCCATTATCATTTTCATTGTTCGTTCAAAATTTCTGTCCTCCCTCTCATGGTCCATCCTTGTCATTTGCAATAAAAATTCACGATCACGCTTGTCGCTTTCCTCCATGTAGTTCTTCAGGAAACGCAGCATGGATGTGTCTTCGTCCTCTTCTGCGGAGGCCTTCCTCTTGTTCCGTTTCTTGGGTGGCTCACGTTTGTCTAACAGCTCTCCGTGATCGGGCAGTGACTGACTGACTTCTTTACTAAAACAAGTGAATCCAGTGGTCGTTTCCACGCTTAGTGCAGCACTTGCTGGAATATTAACCACTACAATGTTGTCACAAGCGTTGCTTTCTTCGTTCTCTCCACTAGTATTCGACGTTTTCTCGTCTTCTTGAGTTACAGCTGAACCGGACTCGATCGCATCGATGCCGTCGTTAACAAAAGTCTTTCCCAGCACCTCATCAATCTCTTGAAAATAGTCGCACGTTCTATCATCCTCACCAGACTCGATGCGCTTTTTTGTGGTTTTATAATCGAAAACAACACTTTTCATCCGTCCTTTGCATTGCTGACCCGAGCGAAATGTTTCAAAACCGCACTGCGCTAGTTTCTGATTAAGCAATCGTGCCACCACGTCCCAGGCCTTCGCGTTCCTCTGCTGACTAATGTTCTGGTACTGCTCGCCCCAGAGCGTAATAAGAAACCGTGTTTCTGCGTCCGACCAGTTAGGGGAGCGGCCCGGCTTGATGGGCATAGCCGAAATGAATGAGTCCGCTGACCTGGATGGGTAAGCGGCGGAGGGTAAGCCTTGTCCATCGGAAGAAATGCTTGTGAAAGCGCTGAATCGGGACTCTTTTGCCTGCTCAGGGGATTTCGGGTCGGTGACCTTGGACTGAGACATAGTGCTTCTCTCTCGTGCCAGCATCTCTGAACGGAAGCCGAGTAGTGGTTGACTCGGGCCGCCTGTTTTATCGCTCCCTGGTGGAGATAGCATTGAGGCAGTGAACTGACTGAAATCGAATTAAAAAAAAAAAAAAAAAACGCTGAGTCCAACTCAAGAATAACCGCTCAAAACGACTAGCTGTATTTTCAGTGACTGCTTTAAAAGCTTGTGCCCGTACCGTTGCACTTTCAATTTCCCACGGAGGGGAAGGAGGAGGCTTAAGGCACAATGTGTCCGTGAGAGATTCTGTTCCATTTACTTACGGGAATACTGGGGAATGTCGGGATTTATTTATCGGAAGGAGCTTTCTTCTATTAAGGTCTCATGGCCAAACTTTTTTTCTCCGATTCTGACTATACGCTCTGGGAAAGTTTTGATCAATCATGATAAAACAACACAGAAACCAGCAAAAAATAATAACCACGGCGAAACCTTCATTTAGCTGGAACGTCTACAAAATCGAGGCTTCAGGAAGTTTTACTTTAAAATATGTCGTAAATTTAAGGAAAACTTGTTGAACTACAAACTAAAATAGACGGAGAGCAATAACCGAATTTTTATTTAACTCGGCATATCGTATTTCCTCAAATAAGCGCCCACGCTTTAACAAGCGCCCTCCCCCGAACAAGCACCCACCCCCTAGGAAATTTTATCACTGACAAGCGCCTCCCACGAATTAGCGCCCTCGCTCTCCTCCCTCGCCTTCTTAAATGGTAGAGATACAAGAAAATCCTGTTTCTATCGCCACACTATTTATAACTATTTAAGCTTCAACTACAACGGAATCAGTTTTAATCGCCCGAGGGG